GAGGTCACGCCGCTGGGAAGCGGCAGGCTCAGGACAGGAAGCCGGAAGCACGTGGACCAAATCCTCAGCCCGTGCTGGGCCTCAAGGCTCAGATAACCGAATCTGGCTCACTGCCTGTTTCTGCACATTTTGGAACACAGCCAGCCACGCTCGTTACGTATGGCTTATGGCCGGCCGCTTTTGTGCTACAGGGGCAGAGGTGAGTACCAGCGACACAGAGGGTCCTAAAGGCCAGCATATTTACTATCTGTCCTTTTACAGAAAACGTGCGCAGGGCCTTGTTCTAACCACGAAGGGCTGTAGCAGGAGGCAGCTCTCTCCCTTTCTGCCTCTGCCTTCTGTCTGAACCTGAGGACTGGCTCTGTCAAGTCCTCACTGAGTCACTGAAGAGAGAAAGCATCTCCCACAGCTAAGTGTATGAAATGTCCTCCGGACCTGGAGGAGTCACCCAGGTTTCCAAACGAAAAGTTTTGAAAGACCCCAGAGGTAAATCATCTCTCTCAGAAGGGGAAAAAAAAGGCTCATTGCAAATAAGAAGTGTTTTAGGTCTGGGCTGCCAGCAGTCTTTTATGTGTAGGTTGAAAGTGAAGTCCCAGCTGAAGGGGCATTTTGGATAAAAGGGGCATTTGAGATTCAGCAAGCAAAAGAGAAGACTGGCTCCTCTAGGAGAGTTTACAGAAGAGAATAGAAGAATGTGGCCACGCCCACCGATCTGTTTGGAAGAAGAATGTAAAAGCACAACATGTCCCTGAGAAACGGCTCCTTCGGTTTGCCCTACAAGCAGCGTATGAAAGATCATCGGAAGGTTTCCACTAGTTTAGCAGAACCTGTGCTGATGCCCCACATCTGTCTAAAACGCCTCCTAATTCAGATGCTGAAGTCTCGGACACTTCTCTGTATGGTGGCACTTAGGCTCCTTCTTTTCAACTAAGGCTTTTCTGTTGTTGGAGAGAGGAAAAAATGTCCCTCTCCCCTTAGAGAAACTGATGTGGGCAGCTGTCCAGATGAGTGGTAAACTTGTGGAGGGGATGTGTCAGGCTTCTGTGAGGCAAACCTCACAAAGGATGCCTCGGTGTCCCCTTAGGTTAGCCGTGGCAGCCGGGCAGTTAGCGGTTCACACGCGTCTCATATCCAGGCTTCCTAGCTCAGCAACACCAAGCCCGAACCTGGCAGCTGGGGGCGTCAGGGGGAGAGTGCCAGGGTGGAGTCACGCACCACAGCTGCCTAGCTGGAGCCCTGGCAGGGTTCACGAATACTTCTCTGCCTTTCATCAGAGGGTTACGGAACGCCATTTAACCCTCACCGCATCTCGGAAGTGCTTCTGGTAGAGAGGGTCCTGGGAGGAAGAGAAGCCACAGAGAGAGGGAATTTGAGGCCAACCCCAGGTCATGTGCCCTGGGATGGGGTCATCACGCTGGTGGGCAAAGCCCTGGGGAGACAGCTGATGGAGATCGGGACGAGGGTGGGGATGGAAGAAGAGACAGGTAGGGGTGGGAAAGGGTGGAGGTGGGCCAGTTGGTACCAAATAATCAGAACTGAAAACCTGATGTACAGGGTCAAACCCAGGCCAGCCCTGTCATTATCCCCAAATGGGTCCCCCCTGTGCCCACAAGACAGCCTGTGATGTTCGCTGTCTCCTGGTGTTACCTGGACGAACACCGCAGAGGACTGCAGAGAGTGAAACCCAGAGACGGGCCCCACAGCCCTCAGAACTGGTCTGAGATAAAACCCATGGTCACAGCCGTGAACAGGAGCTACTGATGTTCCTTTTAGTATCCATCCGTGGTAGACACAGTGCTTCGGAATCCTTCCCTCAAGCTACCACCCGTGCCTGGGATTTCCACGGGTCTCTAACGGGTAGGGCACCAGACTGTCTCTCTGCTCCTGCTTTGTTCAAAGCCCACAGCTTCTAACAGGAACAAGAACTCTTGCTTTTACTGCGACCTGCTGAAAATAACCCCCTGGTTAACAACGGAAGAACTCTGATTATGGGCCTTATATATGTTTACTGGCTTCTTTATTATTCTTTTTTACTTTTATTGAAAAAAGAAAGTATTGGTTGAGAAAAAGTAATCCATCACCTTAATTACACCACTTTTCGGTTCCTTCTCCCGCCTTTCCTTTACACAGATTTTCATTTGTTAAAGCTCAAATTCTAGAAAAAGATGCATGACGGCACTATGTTTATAGCCAGTGCTTAAAAAAAAATGAAAAAAGGAAAAAAAATGCACACCCAGTCTACTTTGTTTAGAACAAGAAAAAAGTCTTTTTAAACATCACATGACAACACAGCTTATTCATTCTCTCTCCTTGTCCCTTTTCTCCACGTTTCTCTTTTTCTCCATGACTTGTTTCTCTTCATACTGACTCATACCCCGGATACAATCAAAGTATACACACCAGGCAGAAAACACAAGGCGACTTGAATAAAAAGAAAATGTTTCATGGCAAGAAATGAGTAAGAGGCAGAAAATGAAAGACACTTCAAAATATAAAAGATTAAGGCAATCTAATATGACCCGGTCCAGAGGCCACTTTTATTGCATTCTTGTAAAGATCTACCTTGTATACATTGGTCTCTTCTAAACAATAAGAGTACTTCTCTCTCATGGCTAATTTATAATGGAAAAGAAAGCAACCCAAGTTAAAAAAAACAACCCAACATGCTCACAATGTGTACGCCTGTTGTTAATAGGGTTTCACCATCAACTTTCCAGATCCTGCCTGCCCAAACCTGATATCTCTGTTTCTCTTTTTGAGTGAAAAGGCTGATTTAATCCCCAAAGCATCTGCGCTTCCACCAAGCGAGGGCTGCCGCTGCCCTGAACAGGGGAGGTCACTAGGTTAGACAGAGCAAATGGTCCTCTTTCCCCTCCCAGATGGAAGGCTTCGCCAAGTCAGAACAGAGGTGCAGGCTGAGGTCAGAGGGGCCTCAGCCCCAAAGACGCCTCCCTGGCCCTGGGTTCACCCGGCTACCAAGTCAGGAGTTTCATGTAAAACTTGCCGTTGTGATTGAAACTGTCCAATCCCAATTCCCATCCTGCTCTTGGCTCCTTGGCCAAGTCTCTGCTCCCCACCCCTCGGTTTCCTCCTTCCAAGGATGCTCATGATTTCCCAAGACAACAGTGGTAGGCCAATCCGTGCTACTCATGGGCTGCCTTGGCTTAACCCCCAAACCAGCACATCAGGAGCACACTGGACATCCTTACCTCCAAGTCCCTAAGCTCTGTGTTTATTCTGGCTAAATGAGCCCTGCGGCTCTGATATTTTATTTACATGTATATTTTTACAAGAGAACATAACTGTCCTGTGAAGCCTCACAGTAAACACAGCCTCCAGGAGAGCACATGTGCTCTGATTTGTTGATTCTCTCACGGAAGCAAAGCGCTTGGCCACCGCACTTGTCAGTCACGGGCCCGGACATGCGTGCTCACCCCGCAGAGCGTCTGCGGCGATGGCTGTGAGTCCCCTAAACAGCCTTTCCTGGGAGCTCTGAGTCTCAACCATCAGTAAAATCAAGTGAAACAACAAAAGCAGGTTTCACTTCCCCAACATCATCATTCCGGAAGGTCAGAACTTGAATTCAACTTCAACATTCAGTTTTGACCTCAGCTTTCCTTCCAATACTTAAGATTCACATTAACAGAAATCTCACACACCATGAGAACCAACATAGGCACGTGAATACTCTCAATACTTTAAAAGGGGCAATGGGGAGTGGGGATGGGGGTCAGGAGGCAAGGAAGGGTGAGAAAGAAAGAAAAGATACTCTCTCTAGGTCTGTCGTTCCCTATTCTGCTGCCTCATCTCCTGTCCTAGGCTGTGGGGGATTGGTGGCAAATTGGGCGAGATGCTTTGGAGTCAGAGAGTGCAGCTCGGTGGAACACCAGGAATTCATCTCTTTCTGGCCAGGAGCTGCGCAGATTAATGAGAGTGAAGATAACAAGTCTAGACTTCAGATATAAAAATGACTTCCCTTATCTCTGAACTGCCAGCACCTGTGGGGTTCAGGCCAGCCCATGCAAACAGGGCACAGAAACACCCACGGTTGTTTGCATAGACTGGGCTCTGTCATTAGGTGAAGGTGAGTGTCTCTGGGTGTGCTTTTACACCCAGGTCAACTCAAGTGAAACATTTATAGAGTGGCTTCTAAATGCTTAGCATTGGAACTCGGGTGGAAACTTTCGCAGTGCCAACTAAGAAGAGCAAAAAGGGCAAAATGAGAAACCCACTGCATGAAATGGCACAGACATGAGCATCACCCAACCCTGGAGGTCCTTCCGCCCTCCCTGGATAAGGCAAGTGTCCCAAATTCCCTTGTCTTTGCCCTCTATGTACTTCATTAGGGAGAAAAGGTCCTCTTCTGTTTTTTCAGTCCTGTATTGCAAGAGCTCTAACTCCTGTCACCAAATGTGCCTCCTTCTTTCCCTTATTGGACACCAGCTCCTGAATCCTGCAACTTTTCCTCCTTAGGATTATCATTCCTTGTCTTTCCCCTAACTTCCTTCCCTCCCCAAACTGCCCGCAGCGCACCTCACTGAGGGTTAATTGAGACCGCTGCCTTGGTACCCCGTAACTGGAAAGAAAGCATCTTCAAGCGAAAATAAATCATTGCCACCTCATTTCACTTTTAATTTACTGCTGCTTTTTTTTGTTCCGTCTCCCCGCAGCATCTCCTTTCTCACCACTCATGCATCTCAGCCTCATTGCTCTCCGCTGGACAGTGCAAGGCTGAAAGGTTTATCTGTAACCTATTTGTCTCTATTATAGGTTTCTAAACTTTAATTAAACAAGAGACAGCGAGGATCTCAATCCCCCTTTCCCCACACCTACAGGTGTTGTTGGTGCCATCTAGTGGTGGGAAGCTGTGGCATCTAGTTTCTCTTGTGAGCTTTGTCAAATTTGGAGGTTTATTGCCTCCACCAAATCCACATTACATAGGGGGAAGGAAAAGACATGCAGAAATTAAAAAAAACTTTTTTTACCTTTAAAATTCTCACCTGCAAAAGCTGAGATGGGTTCTAGAAAAAAAATAGAAAGAATTTTGAGTTAGCTAAGGGGAAGAAAAAGGGTGCACACAGAATAGGATGAAGATGACTTTCATCAAGCTGTTTTGTAATATCCTGCGGGAAGTACCCCATGTCCTCCACATGCTCTAGACCACATCTGACACACCATCAGCATGGGGGCCGGGTGGGCGGGGACAAGACTCTCAAAGTTGCTTTGGAACAAAAAAGTCCTTTATAGAGTAACAGGTCCCTGAAGCATTGTAATCAGTCACTTACCACTGATTACTTTCTCAGAGCCTGGATTACTTTTAGATGCCTGGGCTCCGAGAGTTGCCTGAAGGGACTAGGGCAGTCCCAAGTGCTTCTGACATCACCAGGCACATGCTCCCTGCCCGGGAGCCAAGAGCCAAGAGAAGCACGTGGTGAGTCATTACAGTCACTCTGCAGACTAAAAGCAGGTCCCGTTCCTTCTCAGGGTTCCTCTTGCTTTTGGGGATATCCATGGCTCTGAGGGGAGGTGGCCCTTGGGGTGAACTGAGGAAAATGTGTGTATCGCAGGTAGGTTGGCTACTCAGCACTTCTGTTCAAGGCGACAGTGTCCTTCCTGTGCTGGTCACCTGGTTTGCAGTGTTTAACCTTATGACTTTGGGACCTTGGGCATTAGAGGTCTTAGCTCCAAAGTAGAATCTAAACTCTTACCTCACAGGCCATGGTTTGCCTGGCAATTCATTCATGTAAAAGAACTGCGTGGGTAATTGTGTTATCACTCTGAGACAACATATGTACTATTTTTGCTCCCAAGTGAAGGCTTCCATTAAATCCATCAAGCCTTTCCAGCATGTAATTTTGACTGGCAGTTGCTCTCATCCTCTAGCATTTTCTTTGCTAAAAGCTGGAGTCTTGGCACCCTGAATCTCCATATACTTATTGCATGTCTATTTCTGAATGGGAACGGGGATTTAAGACTTCATCTCCTCTCACACCGCTCCCTTCCTGAATGCAGCCTAAGTTACACGGTGCTCACACCTCGCCTCCTGCATAGACTGGCGCTGCCCCAACCACCGGGTAACAGCTGTGTTTGAAAATGATGTACTGCCTCCTCTTGTATATCCCAGCCCTTGGGAGAGCCTCAAAGGGACAGATATTCACATACCCATACAGTTCTCCAGTGGGACGTCGGTGCTTATCCGAATGTCATCAATAGCAATTTCTCCCGAACGTCCTTTTCCTATAACTCCCTCGAACACAATCTAGAAGCCAGAAGAAAAAGAGCCATGGTTAACTGAGCTTCCTGGTCCAAACAGTGCAAAGATTTCCAATTTTCTGTTAACTGCGGCTTACAATGTGTGTGTGTGTGTGCATGCGCGTGTGTGTGTGTTGCTGCACCTGGTACACATCTGTTGACCACATGGCTATGGTGCTTGAAATCTTGATTTGAAAAGAGTTGGTTCAAATCAAATGCAAATTTGAGGGGATTATATATATACATATAAATAACAAAGTGATGGATATTGTTGTCCAGTGACTAGAGTATACTGTCTAAAAGGACCACAGTCAGAGCGTGTTTAAAGGAGAGCTGAAATTTCCCCAGCCTTTTTGGATGGTTTTTTTCTTATAAATCTTCTAAACACCCAACCCAGGTATTGGGAAGCTCAGAGGATGTGAGCAGGTAGGGTAAGGTAAGACACGTAGTATACAGGTTTGAATTGCCTTGGGGGTAGCACGATCTTATGGCTCCATGATGACAACTCGAAGAGAAGTGATTTTCCTTCACCACTAGTTTACTAAGCACCTACTACATGCTAGGCACAACGACAGTTAAAACCTAATAATACAAGACCCTCTGCCCGGAGAACCTCAGCGCCTAGTGGGTGAGACAGAAATGCCAACAGGTACTGGCCGCACAGCGCATCGAGGTCCGTGAGTGGGAACGCAGATGTGGCGGAAAGGAACTCAGGATGCCTTACAAGCCTGACAGTGACTGCAGGCTGCACACAGGAGCCCCTGGGCTCTATGGTCTCCAGTCAGCCCTCCTTCTCGCCCTCCCTAGGTTCTCTCTGCGAACGAGCACATGTCCTCTGGCAAGCTGAGCGAGCAGTTGGCTGCCTCACCAGCCATCTGTTGCTGCCTCTCGTCTAGGGAGGAGCAGGTTAATGCTTTGGCTGGTTCTCCGTCACCTCTTCCACTGCGTGCCTACTCCTCCCCAAGGCGCAGCCACAGAGGCAAAGACCCGTCTGTGCCTCAGTCTCTTGCTCTGTGGGCAGGAGATAATAGAACTCAACTCCTGGAGCCGTTGGGAGAGAAACCACTCACTTAGGAGTCTCTCTGGTCTGCTGGCCACTGAGCACAAAACAGCTCCCCTCCCCTTCCTGCGTTCACACGTGCTGGGACAGGGCTGGGGGGCTGTTCCCCTCTCCTCCTCCCAGTCTGAGGGGCTCCACAGGCCTCTTCCCTTGGGTGTGGAGGGTTTGTTTGTGTTTATTTCCCTGCCTTCTGTGTCCGTTTGTCAGCCTACCTGATAGCAATCTAAAATAAAATGGAGAGAAAAACATTTGTCGGAGAAGATTTCAGCAATATAAAAGGCAACAGGAGGAACAAAGAACCAAGTCTGGGTGTCGAGATAGGCACATTCTGAATAACAAATAAGAGTGTCATTTAGTTGCCATGGCAACGTGAGAACCACACTGAACACAACGGCGCTTAACCGCGTTCCCTAATGATGAATGGGCCCGGCCCTCTGAAATACTGAAACACAGATCACGACGATTCCCTTGGATCCCCGCACCGTCCCCCGTCGCCACCCGACCTGGTACTCCATGTCGTAGCTGGGCAAGATGATCCTCCCGTGTTTCCACTCGCCGCCCTGGTCCTCACGGATAACCCAGAGGAGCTTGCTCTCCTGGCTGGCTTCGCGCACCACCTGCAGCGCCACCCCGCGGCCGCCCGTGGCTTGGTACTGGAACTCCATGCACACGGGGCTCCGTGGCAGGTGGACGGGTGGGCTGATGAGCCGCGCGTACTGCCCTTCTCTCCGGCCATCGCTCTGCAGCCGCAAGAAATTCCTGTCATCTGGCGGGAAAACAAACCCAAACAGAGGTTCCTGGTAAACGTGTGGGAAAGACACCAGTTGGCAGTTCTGGCCCCTTCAGGGAAAAGCTGTGACCAGAGTTTGGGGGGTCTTTTGCTTATGTATGGACTTGTTCTCCAGGCCCTGGGTCCCTTTCTTAAGGTTCCTTCAGAGCCCCAATTCAAATCCTGTGTCCTCCTGAAGCCCTTTCTTGAGTCTTTACGTCAAGCAGGTCCCTCCTGCCTCTTCCATGCATCACTTCCTTTGTGCCTTTTACGTATGGCACCCAGCCCTGTTGGCTTGATGTCTGGGCTGGTTGTGTTTGTGCTTGTCTTTCCTCCTAGAGTCTGAGAGGCCAGACCCACGTTTTATTCATCATTGGTTTACCCAAAGGGCCAGTGCACTCTAATGAACTGAATGAAGTCTAAGGGGGTGAAGTGGCTGCTAGGATAGAGGATGACTCTGGTCGGGTGTTTTATGCTTCAAGCCTTTATCATCTTGGCTGGGCACCATCCAAATGGAAGACATTTCAAACCTTCTGTCTGCAGCAGTGTTTCTAGATAGTGCCTGGGCTTTAGTGACTGTAACCCAGAAGCCCAGCATCAACTTCAAGCAGAACAGGGAATGGTGGCTGTGTAGGGGTGATCCAGGGGGCCTGATACCCGACTCCCCTGTCTGCCCACCCTGGGGAGGCCAGACCTTGGCCTCTCTCAGAGACTAGGCAAACATAGACCCAATGAAAACAGGTGCTGTCATCATCACGAACAAGGGCTATGTGTTTAGCAGAGCATATACATGTTTTGGGAAATGAGGGTTTCACCCAGCCAAATGTTAGAAGAGCGTATCTTTTGGCTGATTAGCTTTTAAATATATCAAGTACTATGTGGAAGACGGAGCTCCTGTTCCTGTTGGCAGACCGCGTGCCTTCCAGACACAGCTTGGGGACCTGCACTGGCAAATCCAGCTTGTGCAGGAGCACAGAGAATAAGATGGCTTCTGAGGAGAAAAATCTCACTGTCTCTTTTTGGCCCTGAAACATCTTCGTTGAACACTTCTGCAAGATGGCAAGGGCACTTTTGCACCAGCACATCAGACACTTCAGGATCATGTTAATCTGAGACGTATGCACGGAGCTTTCTTATTCAGCGGAGACTGGGAACATGCTGGGCTTGGCAGGGAAGGACAGGCAAGCCCTCCAGAGCCCTGAATCAACAGGGCACTTCCTGGACCACTGGTCTGCTGTTCTTACCCTTGCTGACACCATCCTTCTAGTGAGAGCAGTCTGTGACAATCCTCCCATCAGGGGCCCAGGAATAGCTCCTTCCCTCCTCCTGGCCACCTCTCTCCCTCCTCCCCATCTCCCCTAAGCCCTTCCCAGTTAGACTCTCATGGACTATTGCTCTAGAAGCTACCCTCTCCTAAAGTTATATTAGCCCAGTTTAGGATGCGTAGTGGGCATTCCAGTTTGAGTCTCCTTCACTAACCAGAACCATGCTGGTCTAATACCCCACAACATGGCACCTCTTCAAGACCAAAGTCAGCACAGATAAGTAGACTGCTGTCTGCGGCAGAGAATTTTAATGACGGTGATCTGCTGAGGGAGGAGGTACTGGTGCCACAGCCAGACACTCGAAGATCTTCCAAACCTATGCTTCTCCTATCAGATCTCATTACAACTGCTATTAATGATAATAATTATGTCATATTTGCATACTGCTTTACAGGTTACAAGGCATGTGGATATGTATTCATAACTTAATCATTGTAATAAGGTTGCGAGCTAGGTCTTACTAATCTTACTGTGCACAGGATACAGAAACTGAGGCTCAGAAAGGTTCAAGTGACTTGTCCAAGGTAGAGAAGCTAGTAAATAGTAGAGCTTGACTTGACTTCAGGTTTTCCCATCTTCAAGCAGTAGGACCTTTCACTTCAGCTGTGCCCCCAGTACCCTGTCCCAAGACCGGGCAATCAATCACACTCTATTCAAAGCAAACTGGCTTCTCTGCTGGGCGCTGTTCTGTTTTCTCCTCCTACCTGGAATTCTCTGCCTACCACCCCCCTACCCCCCCCTTCCCCTGACATCCCACCTCCTTTGCGAGTTCTCCTCCTAACCAATCTGGCACATTTTGACATTAATTGCTCTCTTCTCTCAACAACTGGAGCATTTACGCACTGTACCACTGATTTTACCCTGTTTTTAAAAAGACTTGAGGCCATTTTTCATGTGTTTCAGCAAGTAACCACCCACTGCCTTGTACTATAATTTAACTATTTTGTGTATGTCTTTCTTGTCACCACGGTTAGACTATAAGGCCCTGGTGTTACACATAGAGTGGTTAATACTGCTTTTTCTCCCTCCCCCTAGATAGTGACGTATACCTGCCATTACTCAAGAAAATTTTGTTCCCACGAATGAATGAATGACAAACACATGGATGAAGAATGCTACGAGGCTGTCGGTTGGAAGCAAGAGCAGAGGGAGAATCAGCTCACCTCTGGTAATCCCTCAGGTCCGTATAATCTCTTCACAGTTCCCGCCCATTCTCCTGAGCCAAGAGCCCTTTCCAAAGGTGAGATGAATGAATAATAACAGGCTGACCTGTGGGAGCATCCAGACCACTGAGCCACCAGTGAGAACCCCCCGGAGCTCCCAGGCTCCAGTAATTTCCAAGCTTTTACTGTTTCCACCTTGTATATGAAGGAAACCAGATTTCAGAGACTTATTATTCAGCCTTCTTCCTTAAGTTTCACAAATAAGACCCAGTGGCTGCCTGAAAATTGCTTGGCAGAAATACTGTCACTTATGAGAATTTACATTCTTAAGCAGCGGGGGAATCATAGCATAATGGTTAGAATTTAGTAAGTAAAATGTGTGTGGAGGTGTAAAGCGCCGGGCTGGCTGGATTTCATCCGGGTCTGTTTTATTTACCCATCCTGTTGCTAAAACTTCAGGCACAGCCAGGCCAAAGGTTTCCCAGACTGCCTCTCCTGGGGACCTGAGCTGGCCCCTCTCCTCAACCCTCCTTCCTTCTCCTCTCTCCTCTCTCTCGCACAAGAAGATGATAATCACTGTGCATGATTTAAAGGACCCCTGGAAGGCCAGGGAGTTAATGCTGGTGGCGTGCTAAGCACGAGCAGCTGAAGGATCATAATTCAGTGCTGACATCCGAGCTAATCCACTAGTTTGCAGACTCTCAAGACAAGCAGGCCTCTGCATTTCACTTAGTTAAATCATTTGTGCCCTACTTGTCTGTTAAGTGCTATGAGATGGAGGGAAGAAAGATGATATGTAAATTTAAGGAATTAGTGGTAGACATCAGTCAGAGGGACGCTGAGCTGCAAAACGTCCCTGCCTGTCATGGAGAGTGGACTGATTAGAACCAGGACATCATGAAGGAATGGCTTTGGCCAGGAAGAGCCCAGAGAGGGAGAGAGGAGGAGCAGGGGCAAGAGAACTGGTGTTAGCTGAGCACCTCGACGCACCAGCTGTCACCCTGGGCGCTCTGGCGCCTTATGTCATCTCCCCTGTGAAATAAGTACCATTTTTACCAAAAAGGAAACTGAGGCCCAGAGAACTGAAGTCATGCGACCCAGACCACAGCTAGAGAGTTCTGACTGGACTGAGTAAAATCACCAGAGCCTTGCCTCTTACCCGGGCTGGAATCCCAGCCTCGTGCTCACTAATCTTTGAAAGCCTCAGTCTTCCCATCTGTGAAATGGATATAATAACAGCAATCCTGCACAGGGTTGTGAGCAGGAGGAGATGGAACCAGCCCTGTAAGCCGCTTTGCACAGGAACAGGGACACAGCAGAAGTGCTATAAAAGCTACGATCTTTATTTCTACCACCATCACTGCCTCCTATGCTTGTCTTTTCGGTTTTGTTTTTGTTTTTTTAAAGAAAAGAAAGGATCAAAAGGGTGCCCATAACTTGGGAAGACCAATCCAAGCCTCAAAGGAAGTAAGGTTTGGCTTGAGGACAGTAAAGATGTCCTCTGGAATAAAATGGTTCCCAGATCTGTCCTCACCCCAGAAGCCAGCCAGCCCCTAGTTGTCTACCATGTGTCTTCCGTGTCAATCTACTGTAGATTAAACAAAATCATACATGATTCTGGAATGAGAGCAGAACCTCAAACGACGGTTTAGATGAGGCCAGCCCTGCTGTCCAGAGGAACCACACCGAAAACATCCCCAGAACAGCTGTCCACCCTTTGCTTTAAATTCTCCAGAGAAGGAGTTTCCATAGGCCATGCCGCCAATGTGTTTTCTAGGTCACAACCCTAACTGTCAAGAACTTCTTAAATTCAGTTTTAAGTTTTCCTGCTGTCATTTAGACACATGTCCTCCTTCCATGCCCGATGGAGCACAGCCAACTTCTGTCCTCTGCCTGAGAAACATTTTCACTCATGAAGAATTAAGACTCTGGTCTTCACTTCCTCAGGAAACACAACCTTTGTCTCTTTTAAATGTCCACTTTCCAGGCCTTTTATTGTGTGAGGTCTCCACGGACCCTTCTCCAAGCTAAGGGCTTCAGTTCTTTTAAGTCGCGGACCCATCTATCTGCTGAGAGCAAAGCACATGTGCCATCAGTGAAGTCTGCTCTTCTGGGACGTTCTAATTTATGGCCCACCGCTACCAAACCCAGAGGAACTTTTAAGCAGCCGTGGCTGTTGATTACTTGGTAGAGCAAAGGGTTGGCCTGGCATGGGTGGGCTGCTTTATAGATTTACTTAGGCTTTGGAGAAAAGCCAAAGGATGGTGAAGAGGTCCCCAAACCTGACAATCAACCAGCTAAGAACCAGCCCTGCTTACTGGAGGCTGTCTTGTTTTTGTAGCTGATGGCAGTGATGTCGGCAATGGATAGCTTCCAGCAAATAAACAATGCAAAGGAAGCACACTCAGTCGCAGAAAGGGAATGAAGAAAAAAGTGTCCCAGAGATCCAATCCCTCTCCTCCTGGACCTGACATACTTGGGAAGCATTTTGCTAGGTCCTTGACTCAAA